ATGCCGCAAGGTAAATACATAATGCAAGGTAAGTACATAATGCGTCATCAAAAATTTTACGGTTTTTAATGTATTTTAAGGACAATTTAGGCACTGGCTACGTTACCCAAAAGACTGCCAACGTTGCGCTTACGAAAATTTAGTATATAAAATTAAAAGAAATTATTAGATTTTTCGACATTCATTTTTATTTTTGATTATGACCAATATTTAGTTAGTACCGAAGGAAAAGGAACTAATTTAACATAGATATTTTTTAATTACATATACCCTTGTTTGGATATATAAAAAGTACAAATTTTGTCGTTTATAATTTGGATTTGGTGGGCCGCTTCGATACCATGATTTATCCTTACAAACTCGATATCCGTTACTACTTCAACAATGATGTTAGATTCTCTCAGGTTAAATGCCTTTTGAAAATGTAGTGCGCTGCTTACGATTATATTTCGAGCTCTTACATATTTTCTTACTATGGTTTTCACTGTAGCTCCTGTCCCATCCACACAGCCTTTTCCATGAGAGGTAGCGAAATAATTCCAAATAATTTTTAGTTCAAGTTTTACTTCTAAGCACGTAATTAAAGCAGCTATGAATTTGTTTTTGAACTGAGAGAATGGACCATCAATCCAAATTTTTAAAATTTTAAGAGATGACGGTAATTTTGAAAGTAATTTCCATAGATAAGTAGCAATGGTGTCTTTGGTATGAATTAAGTTATCAGAAACAAAAACTTTTACTTGAAAGGTGTTGTTATAGTACAATCCACTTGTTAACAAGGTAAGTTGGCGCTGATTCCAATGGGCGTTTTGTACTTCGTCTCGCCCTTCACAAACAAAATTTTCCGCGAAATCAATTTGAAGCAGGCCTTCATCATCAACGTCCGTGCTCAATGCTCTCGGCCGATCATATTCATTGAAGGTTATAGATTGCTCACGTTTGTTTTAAAGCTAAGTTGCAGAAATTGGGGCCATATCTTACTTATATAAGCAATAAGGTCATATATCGTTCCATTTTCCTGATTCCTTTCAACCCGCTTCTTTACAAGATCTATTTGCCACACCAACTAATGTAGTTTTGAAGTAGACGAAATATTTTGTACAAATTCGTTCATCTTGGATTCGAGTTTACTAGTGCATTCATCACAATTACCATACCAACAGTCAATCGAAGATTTTTCGCACAAAAAAAGTTAGCGAAACCATTGTCATAGCTAGGCATATTCGGAATTTTTTTACATAAACTTGTAACAGCTTCTATAAAGTTTGAATGGTAAGTACACAAGCACACCTTGTGTTTGTTAATTTTACATGTTGTGGTCGTGCACGATAAAAATAAGATAAGCAACAAGTATCTGAAATCATAATAATAAAAAAATATATATAAATTTCAAGAAATGCATTCGCATAGATCAAAATACCTCTTCCTTTGTTCATTTGCTCTACATCAAATACTGCAAACGCTCCTCAAGCCCGCAAAAATATGTGAAAGTACGGCTTTTTTTTCGTTCCCAAATTCGGAAGGGCTCGAGCAGCTTTGGAAACAGCTTTCCCTAGTGACTGAACAGATTTGTATCCGCTATGAGTTTCTCTCTTGCCCTCTTCACTCACAACCAGTGTTGCCGCGCCGTCCCAAGAAAATGTATCACCGACCAAGCCAAAAATGCATCCAAATGTATCCAATTTTATTTTTTTACGTATCCATCTCATAATTTGTAAGAAAACCAAACATTTTCAAGAAAAAGACATAAGTTAACCCATCCTAAGGACTTGGAATACGTGTATATATATTTTTATATTTCATAAAATCAAAGATTAGTAATTTCAATTTATAAATTACATTTTTTATGCATAAGTACTTTGCAAAGTAAGTATAATAAATAGTAATTAATATGTTACATTTGTACCTGTACACTCTAAAAAGTGTGTGTAAAACTACTACTGAAAAGAATCTATTTTTCAACAGGAATCTGTATAAATATGCATACGTATAAGATGTTCAGGATTTGATTTTGAACTTGAGATCTTTAAAATATACACATAAATATACACATGAAATGTTTAAATTTGCAAAAAATTTTAAACTAAAAATACATTTCCTACAATTTGTTATTTTGCTCTCTGCGACAAATTTGATATGTTAAAGTAAACAGGTAGTGTTTAATTTTATTACACGGTGTGCAAATTTGCACACATTAAAAGAGGAAAATGGTTACCTCTGTTAATATGCGCAAATAAACAAAAAAAAATTAGAGTGTATTTTAAGTCTTTTCAGTAAAATTCATAAAAATGTCCTTAAATAAATCAAATCTAGTTTTTTAAACAGTGTATTTTAAACTACATTGAGATCTTCTTTCTTTTAAAATTAACAAATGAAAATATGTGATATGAAAGAGATATATTTACTTTATATATATATTAAGATCTTGCTTAAAGCATCTTTTTTAGCTAACTAAACAATTGCGCCTTGCACTGCTTTGGTGAGATCTCTTCATATGTTCATTGCTTCGTTCACAAAAAATTAAAGAAAAAAATAATAATAATAATAATAAAAATAAACAAACGTCATTAATGAAAATCGATTTTTGAACGAAAAAAACTTTATAGAAAATATAAAATGTTGGCCTATTTAAAAAAGTATCCACGTTTATACTGATCGGAAAAAATAAGTATCCCGCAAAAATTCGTCTAAAAATGTATCCAATTGGATCTATTTAGATCCAAACGGCATCCCTGCTCACAACTACTTTCTCTCTATTATTTTTAATCACGCGTTTCCGCTCTCTACATTTTCTCACTCTCTGACGAGCCGATTCTCGATTATTTTTCACAATTTCATTAAGGATTTTCAATGGTATGCTCTTTTCTGCTTCCTTCTTTTTTTCTCATTACAGTTGCCTTTTTCTTTTTATATTCCTCATATTGTGGCGAGTCTTCAATTTCTTCATATAATTTTTTCTTCTGAGCTTTGGTCAATTAATTGATTTTTATTAAAAAGTCACTGGCAACGTTACATGTGTTTAAGAGCTAGAAATTTCACCATATCTACCGAAATGGCATATTTTCTAATTAGTACGCAAAACATACGTATAACATTAAGGAAAATGCAAAAAGCCCTTTTGCAAAGGCTTTTAAAATGTCTGAAAAAAAATTTTTGTTTTTACACTGGCAACGTTGCCGATTTTGTGGCACATTTATTTTTCACGTAACTTGTATTTAAAACACATTTTTGTTTAATATTGATACGTATTAGGATTAAATAATTTATTTTCTAGTGTCAAAAACTTAAAGGCGAAAATTAGTGGTAACAAACGCTTTATTTTTACCCTTTTCTTGGATTTTTTTCCCACCATATCTTGTCTGCTTGATAACCTTTGATGAAAAGAGCGAAAAATCGAATATAAAACGCTTTAGCGTGACTGACATTAATCTCACTAGCCGCTTTAAGGTGTCATGAAGACCGAAAGACCCCAGTGTTTGCAAGATTTGACAAATAAAAAAAAAACCAACTTGGTTTACTTTCCCATAGAATCGGCCATATGCTAATTTGCTAAAAACGATTGCATAGTCTTATGTTTAAAGTGAAAGGCAAGGATGCATTTCAATTTCAATTATTTTTATACTTTAAGTTGTTTAGAACTTATTACTGTTGAGTTCAACCCTAAGATAATATCAGTTAATTACACAAGCCATACAGAATTTTCACTCACTAAGATTTTTGATCATTCGGTTTCAACTTCATCGGCGTTGGGTTTGTGTCAAATTAAGTTCTCTTTCAATAGATACTTACACATGATATGATCTAAGGAACGGATGTATAGCGATATCAAGTGCG